CATTCTCAGGAGAAACCCTAAACACCGTCACACAGGAGAGTTCTGTGTATTTATTCATGAAGGGCATTTCAGTCATACCTGTACCCACTGATTCTAGACAAAAGTTTCTTTTAATTTCCTGTCTCACAAACAAGTAGTCAGTATACTGGTCTCTATATTAAAGCAGAATAGCCTCATTTTATTTGTCCTGTATTTTTTCTGGAACACGATTAAAGGAGAGAAGAAATGTGGGAACCAAAATCTCTGCTGAGTTCATAAAAAAGACAGAATGAAGATGTAGAGCATCTCTGGTCAGGAAGCTGTTCTCTGTCATCTAGTCATTGATATGCTGCAAGCATATGTTACATCATGTGGAGTACACCCACCCTTTTGCTGCTTAAAATATGTATGGATATAGATGTATAGATAAAATTCACTGTAAGTTGGAGAAGATGGTTCAGGCTGGAAAAGCCTGAGCGCTCATTAAAGAAAAAAAATAATGCCAGCTATATTCTTTTCCTCTAAGGGATGCCATTCAGCTAACACTGGTGTGGACCAAACACACTTCATACGCATTTCACAAAAATATCAAATTGCTGCTTTGTCTGTATTCGGGTTTATCTAGGTGGTGTAACTACATTACAGTGTTCTTGCCTCTCTGTCTGAGCAGAGGAGCATCGTTAGCATTCACCCTTTCTCCTGCTAAAGGAGCAGTTGACGTGCTGGCTACAAAACGATACTGTAATTCAATTGCTGGCACATTAGGTTTTTTAACATTAAGACTTGCACTATAAATTCCAATTCTGTATTCTGTCAGTAACTAACAAATGCCGAATTATCTCCTTCCTTAGACATACACCATTGGAATCCATTTAAAGTGCCTAATGATGTATTAATAAAGCATGATTTTCCAGCAGAGTTTCTGAACTCCAGCCACTGGCGCCAGGACCAGTGCTGCCAATCAAATTAGAGTGTCATCACTCCTCAGTAAATAAAGGTTAATTGGATGTACAGTATGACAGGATAGGGAACGTCAGACATATCAATGGCAGGTTTGTTCTTACTTGAAAGTCTGATATTACATCCCAACTGGCTCGCATGCTTGCCCTGATGCTGCTGGCAGCTTCTGCGCCTCTTATTTTGGACATGGCCAGTTAAGCATATTCTTCACATACACTGAGAATCTTTGAAAAAGTTCACAGACAAAATATTTAATAGCTTTAGCACTCTGGTGACCTGCTGATTCCTACAGAGGGCGGGGATCTGAAGGAGTTCTCATCTTTAATGATTTCTCCATAAGCCCTCTACAGAAAGACCTTTGAGGGCTGGTGAGGTGCACGAGGAGGTGTCGGCTGCACTTCAGGGGGTGATGGCACAGCTCCTCGGTCTGATGGCTGTACCTCAGCCGGACAGCCCCGCATCCTGCCTCTGTGACTGCCTCGTGCTGGGGGAGCAGTGGGAGCTTCCCAGGGTTATCCTTGCCATGGCGGTCCCAGGGACACCCCCGCAGCAGCCCCTCTTCCCGTGGGTCCCCTTACATGCTGGTCAGGGGGCGGTGTGTGTGTGTGTGTGTGTGTGTGTGTGTGTGTGAGCAGTTAAAGGCAGCCCTGGTGCTTGGGGAGGCCACTGGGTCAGGGCCCCCCGGTGCCCTCCGCAGCATCCCGTGCCCTGCCAGTGTGGCAGGGCCAACGTGAGACTCTTTGGGTGGCTCTCCAGGGAGCCTGTTAGAACACAAGTAAGTAGCCGAATAAACACAAAGCTGTATTTGCATTAAATAATGTGCAGTTTAGCATGAGCTGGAACTTCATCCCAACACATCAGGGATTTCATTATACAAAAAGTCCGTCCTGTTTTTCAAAATCCATTAATGTATCTTAAGTGTCTCTTCTCCTTCAGAGACTCTCATTCAGACTCCCAGCTTTTGTTTAGTCTTTCGTTGCTAATTAACCCTCCTGAGCTATTTGCTCCCCGTTCTGCTCTGGAGGCCTGACCTTTCATTGAAGACATCTGATATTTTCAAGCTTTGATTAAAATATTTCCATTAAGTGCTTTTTCAATGAACAAAGGGCTTTTGACATGAACAAAAATGTAATATCTGAAATATTTGGCTTTGCTAAACTGTATCAATTTTACACAAAATTGCATTAATTGTACAGGCAAAAAATATCTTCAGTGAAAAACAAAAAAAAGTAACTCTGAAATGGAAAGCATTTTAGGTTTTTGCTTCTAATTTATAAATATGTTCTTTTGAAATCATGGAATGGTTGAGCTTGGAGGCACCTCTGGGTCCATCTGCTCCAACCCCTTCTCAGGCAGGGCCACCCATAGGGGAGGTCCAGGACCACATCCAGGAGGCTTTTGAAGATCTCCAAGGAAATAGGGTGTCCAGAGAGGTTGTGGAGCCTGTCCCAGTGCTCCATCACCTGCGCAATAAAGAAGTGCTTACTGGTGTTCAAATCTAGCAGCAATAACTGCAATTTAGAAGACACAACCAGTTTTAAACTACCCATGAAAAAATATTGTTTTTTAGGCTCATTACGTTTTGGTCAGGCATTTGAAAGGAATCACTACAGAAACATAGATACTTAGGTGGCAAGGTCAAGGTAATTTGCCTCAGAAGGCTCTGTCTCCTTCCAAGGAAGCCACGTGGATTTTTGCCTTTAACTCTGGGTCTTTGGTACGCAAACACCACACTGGTGGAGCTGACCCTTCAAGACCGCACATCGTGAACCACAATGGGTTAATCACAACTTCAGCAGACCTTTTCTGTTCTGCTTTCAAATGTGCATACACTGGGCTGCTCTACAAATCTAACAAGCTAATTTGCAATAAAAGTAAGCCCTTGAAAAATGATTGGTTGGCACTAAAATGTTTCCAGCTTTATAGTATCATAGCATGATATCATTAACCAAAATGAGCAAAAGTCTGGGAACAGAACAAAAATAAAGGGACGACTCCAGTAACAATGGAAAAAGGGACAATGAAGGCACTGTCTACTGGTTTGTAATACAATGCTGACACGCACTGCTATTGCGTGTTAATGCTGTACCATCAGTGCATCTCATTGTCAGCGCTTGTATTGTGACAAACACAATGCTCATCAATCAGCAGATTCGTGGGCATTGGAGAGAACTCATGAGTCTCCCATCCATTTTTAATGGGAGATGTAATTTGTTCCACGTTTTCTGTTTCACTGATATATAAAGCACACAAAGATAATGTAAATTGAAAGCAACAGTTCTAGGCTGAATTCAGGTCAGCTAAGTGAAACAAACCTGCCTGGGAAGCCTCCAGTTGAGTTTCTTGGTTTCTATAGAAATCAGGTATCACACGAAGGCACGAGGTCAGCACATAATCCCCAGTCATGCATTTTAGTTTAGTTTACCATATTTCAAAGGATTTTCAGGTCACCTGTTATGTTTTTCCTTACGTTTCAGTGGGAGTGATGTACCAGGGTGCGAGCGACGGAATCACAATGTTGTCACGTCAGCGTGTTAGCTGGCTGCCTGCGGTACGTAGTTCACCAAAAGCTTCCTCTTTTCATCATCCTTTCAATTCCCCATTTTTGAGGTTTCCCCATCCCCAGCCACACCCGTTTGTTTATGGGATGTGGCTGTGCTTCACCTGGGCTGATGTGTGAGCCCTGCCTGGTCAAACTGACTTTCTGCTGTCACCTCCTGTTTCTCCTCTCTGCTTATGTTCCTTCCTTCTACATAAACCCCTCTTGCTATGTCAGGGCTATTTCTGCTCCTCCCACCACCCCGGAGCTGCCCCCGCTGTCCCACAGCTCAATGTCTGCAGGGATGGCAGAGCACAGCATTTTTCTTCCTTTCTCTTACCCTGCACTTTCCACCCTGTTTCTGTGTTGAGCAGCACCTTGCTGATGAATTCTTAGATATTTAGAAGTATGAACAAAATCTAAATTTCAGCTGCTCCTTGGGAACAGCAGAAGAGCCCACATGTGTCGGGGATTTAAGGCCCCTCAGCGAGAAAAAGGCTCGCTCAGACAAGGCGAATTTCTCAGCGTCTGCAGAGAGGGAAGGTCTTCAGCAGCAAAGGCAATGCACTAACCTGGCACCTTTGGCAGTCCATTAGGCTGCTCTAAAATTAATGGCTTTATTTTTCACCTTACTTACAGAAACACCGTGGCTTTTTAAGTGCTTGTACTAATAGTAACAATGGCCATTTCCTTGTGGGCCAAGCTACAAAAGATTACTACAAAATGCACCCTGCTTCTGTATGTAACTGCATTTTTGTTCTTTCTCATGCTTTAAAATATGTATTTTTCATTTAATACGTTGCTGAAAGCACCTTCAGGCATGAACCTCTTCCTGCAGTATTTCCACAGCCAAACTGTAATTGTTTCAAAAATCTGTCACAACACACTGGCCTCCATCAGGAAAGAGAGACACGCATGGTCACCATAGAGGGCATCCTCAGTGCCAGGCAGGGGAATGCTCTGCTTCAGCAGAAGCAATAGGGCTTTCTGCCCCTGTTTATCATATCCCATCTCCAATTTATTTCTTGGTTTTCTCTTATTCCTTTGCTACCTCTTCCACAGTAAGGCTGGATTTTTAGGAATGTTGCTTGCTCTCCTCCACACTCCCCATGTCTCTGAACAAAAAGTTTGTGATGGAGCTAACAGGAACCTGCAGCCACCTACCCCAGGACTCGGTTAATTCTGATACATGTGTTTTCTGGTGTGGCATGAACTGCTTCCAAGGACTCCTGAGCATCCCATGTCCCTCCATATGAGTGCAGGTATAAGAGCAATTGGTAAAGGAAACCAGTATTTGTGTGTGCAGTTTTAACTTGGAAAGTTAATGGAAAAGTAGCTCTCTGATCAATTAAATCAGATGATGTCCAGTCTCTCTTGAAACAGATGAGAAAGTAACATCCCTAAATGTAGGCATTTGTGTTGTTGCCAGATTGGATTATGGGTTTAAGACACTGCTCATTTTCTTGATGAAAGAAGCAGTAAAAAGCAGAATATAACACACACAAAAAAAAAAATGGCTCCATTTTCCTTGTTATCCCACCACTTTTAATGCAAATTTTCTTAGCATATATCAACATTATCAAGACAGAATTTGTGTCTCCCCAAATATTTGTGCAACACCACCCTGACCTTTCTGTTAACCAGCATAGCCCTTCTCATTTGAGTGAGTAACATCTTCAGCAGCAACACCACTGCACAGCAGCTGCAGGAAGCACCGACCTCCATCATTTCGGAAGATTCAGTCAGAATTGATGAGTATTTACCTCTCCTGCCCAGGCCCACCAAGGCAGATGCAGCACCGCGTGGGGCAGACCCTGGGAGCTGGCTGCTGCTGCCCGCCACGTGCCCGCAGCTGCACTGCAACACCTCTGCTCTCTTTTGGGGGACCTAGTGATAGCAAGAAACATGTTAAATTCTCCAGCCATTCTGAAAATGAAAAAAGGAGATAAGAAGAGTCAAGTACAGTGGAGATGATTTCCCCTCCTACCACAGACTCTTTGGAAGCTGAAAAATTGACTTCTATTTCATCCATTTTAATGTTGAAGGGTAGGCTAGCCATGGCTTGACATTAAGATTGTGGGTGCTTTGTCATGCCAACACTGCAGCTTCAGAATATACAATGGAAAAAGTTATATTGATGCAAGATTCTGCGTGAGATTTCAATGACAAATCTCACAGCATTCAGACCAAAGGTCCAGTGCTGCCTGTCCTCACTTCCCCATGCACACACACTAAAGCAGGGCTATAATATCAAAAAGATACTCTGGTGTGTGCAGTTAATTCCAAAGAAAGCTGTTTTTAAAACACAGGTTTGTCCTTTGTTCAGCTTATTTTTCAATTCTGTTTAGAGTCTCCAAGGGAAAGGAAAGTGTTTGTTTCTATTTCAGTGGTTTTAAAGGTAGGTCTGTGCTTCAGTGCTGAGACCCCACCCAAAATCACTCAATTTCCAAACTCCTAAACCTATGTTCCACTTTGGGCTGTTGCCAAGTTATCTAACCCGAGATAATTTACCATTCTCGAAGCCAGAGCACTGCTTGCCGGGCTGCACCACAATGCTCAGCACCATGGGGCTTTCGATCAGGTCTCCCAGTACACCCTTGTCCAAGCACATTTATGTGGGTATTCTGGGCATGCCATGAGGCCTGAAGTAATTTCCATCACTGCCAAGCCCAGAAAAGAGCCAGGATCCTGGTAGGAACACGTCTGGCTGGAAATGAAGACAAGTTGCCTCCATTTCTCATTCTGAGATAAATGGCTGAGGGGAAGAGTATCCAAGTAATGTAAACCTGGCAGAAATTTGTCTTTTTTTGGTTCTCCAGCTTTCCCATAAAAAGAGTCAGTTATTGTTTAGCTGCAAAATACGCTGTGCTTTTTCAGCCCATGCTCGAGCACAAGGCAGGGTCAAGGTTGGCTTGATCTCAGAATTAACATGCGAATGATCTTCTCTTGGAACCACCCTTCTGTCTCTGTCACTTATTCTTAGCATTCTTCTCAGAAGTGCATTTCAGTATATTATTACCTCACTATGTGTTTTCTGCTCTTCCCTATGTTAAATTTACTTATCTAGCATTCCCAAATTGATAGGATTTCCATAACATATTTCAAAAACTATGTTTTAATTTAAAGCATGTGGTTTTAGTTATAATATGTGTAGATGCCTATTCTTTCAGCATGTGGTAGCACAAGAGACAGATAAAGAGGTGAAATTATTTGTGTGTGGGTTTTTTTTTGTTGTTTTGTTTTGTTACATTGAAGTCATATTATTCCAGGGAAAATAAAACACAGTCAACAGAATGTCATCTACTCTTTAAACATCATTTCATGATCATAATGATATCATTACAAATGTGCTTCAAATGTATGTGTAACAGCTTAGGGATTGCCATCCATAACAAATTCCTATCTGGGACTTGTTTAAATATAACAATCTGCCTTCCCAGATCATATTATACCAGTGAATACACACTACTCCTTGGAATTAGATTTCTATAAGGAAAGATTAGCCTTGTATAACATAATGTTGCATTTTATTGTTCTCAACTATACTAAATGTAAATCATGTCTCAGTTACTATAATATTTCAAAGAGAAAATGCAAAAGGAAAGACATAAATATGAAAAAGAAAGATAGGATATATAGGAACACGGTGCTTTTGAAACTTGGCTTGAAAGTAAAATACATACCTTTTTTACAATGCTCTGATACTATTCAGTTACCCAATGAATTTCTGTGAAATAATATCATATCTGCACCTTCATGAACAGCTCAGCTGGAGGAGAATGTGAATGAGACAACACTAACTGTCAGCAAAGCCCCTTCGAAAGAGGTGCTGCCTGTTCCAGTTGTGCATTCATATAGCAATTAAGAAATCTAGAAGCTTACCTAAGTTTGCTTAGGAGAAAGAACTGAAGAAAGTGGTCCTAAAATACCAACATCTGGAAAACAAGTAATGCAACTCCATGTTTAAGTATTGCTTTAATAAAAATAAAAACAAATAAATAAATAATAATAATAATAATAATTAATAATAAAAAGATTGCAAGCTTTTTAGCTGCAGTGTGTAGGCAAGCCCTTGCAAACAAAGAATGCTTCCTCTAAACCACGAATATATTTGCATCATGAAGACAGAGACACTGCACTTACCCTTGCACAGCTAAGGAGCAGTTAGCTTGGAAAAGCTCCTTGTGGCCCAGGGGAACATCACCCACCCAGGAAGGAAGGCAGCAGCAGCAGCCCGCTGGCCACAGAGGGGAGCAAGGCACAGGAAGGCTCACAGCTGCTCTCCTGAGAGCAAGGATCTGCAAGGCAGCCTGGCTTCAACCAGCTGGAGAAAATCAACTGCTTCCTCCAAGAGGCTATAAATGGCTGAGGAGGTGCATGTGCTATGGGAGCAGGCAGGATGGCCTGAGGGAAGAGGTGGGGTGTTTGTATGGTGGTGTGGTGAGCCTCAGCACAAGCAGTATGTGGAGGATGTGGGGCTGTAGCTGCCTGGCAGGCACCAAAGGAGGTGAGCGTGAACTGGTGAAGGCTTCACTCAGGTTTCTTAACGGGTCCTGTCCAGCTGTGCTGTGTCTTTCTCCACAGAGGTCTTCTTTGGGATTAAACTAAAACTGTGTCATTCTGTAGCTACAGGTCAAGCTTGACTTAATGTCATTCTTGGAGTATGTTTGGACCTAAAAATGAAATACTCTGGAGACGCTTCAAATTTGGCCTGTAGGGTTTTTGCTGTATTCTTCAGCAAAAAGTACTTCAGCTGCATATCCTAAGTAGACCTATTGTATGCTGCATTTTGTGCAGTGACCTGTGTTGCACTAGCAAAGCTATCAGCTAGAGCTTCATAGGAATTATTTCCAGCAAGTTCTGTAAGAGTACATCTGGTGATGCTCCCAGTGTGGGAAGGGGAAGAGAGGAAGACGAGGTCCCTGCAGTGAGTGCTATATTACCAAGAGCTGCAGAATACTGACTTCTTGCCTTGTCTGCAGAGGTGTGGAAGTGGCTGACCCGTCCTCCCAGGCCACGTGAAGGACCCATAGTGGAGATGTCTTTCCCTGCCTCCTTTCCAGCAGTGCCCTGCGCAGCCTGGCCCCTCGTTAGCGGGAGGGGGCTCCTGCAGAAGGCTGTCCTCCTGGCACGATCCGTGCAGCTCCATCGCAGTGCTGCTCTTCCAAGCTGTGCAGCTCACTCCCACACTTGCTTTGTGGAGCATGCAGTTTCCCTGCTTCCAAGAAGTAGTAATACAAAATAAGAGTACAAAGGTCTGGAGAGGGTCAATGGGGCTGTAGAAGGAGTCTTACAGCAAGAATAAAGACAGCTCTAGCTCTTACTCTGATGAAAGGCCAAATCCTGCTTTTTTCTTATAACACAAATTAATCCCTGGTGATGTACAACTTGGGTTAGTAAGAGCACTAACCAATTCTCCTGTGTATCAAGCAAATCAGCCCTTCCTGCTTTAAACAGCAGTTTGTACAGATGTGTAAATAGAAAATGTTGTTTTGCTTCTCAGGGGATCTATTGTTTGGTGGAACAATAATAATAGTTTCCAAATGTATTTCAGCATTAAAGCATGTGTATTCCTGTGAAGATCGGCTTTGCTTACAGGAACACAAAACCTCGCAGTAATTACCAGGAAAAGCTGACTCACTCTAAGACTTTTCCATAAGAGCCAAGATGGAGCTCCAGAAATCTCAAGCTGAGAAACCAGCTTTGATGCTGCAACCTCATTCCTTATGGGGATTTCTAGTTTCCTAAATTCATCTTATTATCGCCACATTATCCTTCAATATTTCATGGCATGCACTGAGTATTCACATGTGTTATGCCAAGAGGAGTGCATGCTTGGTCTTGTTGTTAGAGGAATAATGGTGTCACACACAAATGTTTCTGTGCATCCAGGAGACTCTGAGATGTAGAGTTGGCTTTCTTATAACTTGAAACAAAAGCATGGGATGGTACACCCCTGTTTGCAGATAAAAACTTCCTGACCAGATGGTAGAGCAATAGGAAAGGTTTTGGGCAACCGCCACTCCCCTCTCAGCTGGGGGGACAACAGAAGGTGGGTGTCTGCAGTGCAAAGCCTGCACGGGACCCCGGGGTGGTAATAAATTAGAGAGGAGAGCTGGAGCAACACCACGAATGAGAATTTAATTACACACTTCTTGTGTTTCCTGAGACTGGTATATGCTGGCATGGAGTATTTTCTGAAGGAAATGAGAAGCTGGTAACTGGTGAGATAGAGCTGTAAAAATCTGCACGTAATGAGTCCTGTACTGAATGAACTGCTCCATTAATAGAAATTGTCTGAACCTACATTTTTGAAATTTGTGTATCTTGAGCATTTGCTCAGCGATAATTTATCACTTGAGGAACACAGCACAGAGTAAGTGTGGTCAGACTGTGACCACCTTCTCCTTCTGCTGATTAATAGAAGATGAGCTTGGCAGGAGGTGATCAAGAGTAGTCAGTCCAGGTATTCAGGAGGACATTAGGAGTTCTGTGGGTGCTTGACCTCCACGAAGTTACAACAGATGGAGGTGACTGCATGTTTAGTCTTTGAGTGCTGCAGACACACAAGCCACAGTCCTTAATTACCAGCCCACTCCAGGACGTGTGCAGAGAGGTGGAGGTGAAACTTGTGTCAAATGTTCAACAAGAAACAGCAGGGTTTTCAGAGTGTTTTGCAAATCTTTGCAACATATTTGTGTTTTCTGGCTTTCTGAAAGACTGGGAGCAGAAGAACTGATAGAAATAGCTTGCTGAAGCTAAGAAGTACTGCAGGCTTTAAAAAAGCAAACCATCAACAACTCCTGCCAGTTGTGGTGGTTTCACACTGGTAGATAGCTAAGCACCCCAGCCACCAAAACCTTGCCATGTAAGCCTAACACATCTTTAGACAGACTAAAGATAACATGCAGTACTGGATATATCTCAATACTTGTTAACTCATGAGTCCATTGGTACACTGAAGAGAAAGACAGCCTTCTAACATTTATTTATTTAGTTTGTGTTAATATTCTCACAGGCTTTACAAATCCTAGGGCAATCCTTTAAAGTTGGCTAAGCGTTTAAAGCTATCTCTAAAATTCTGTTCTTTTTTAAAGAGTAAAACAAGTCGGAACTTCTGTTCATGATGCGAAGGAAACTTCACTGAGAAAATGTGTAGGAGGCTTTTTATAATACACCTAATAAAAATATTGCTATAAAAAATCAATGAGATGAATAAATGTAAACTTCAATCTAAAGTTGTGGAACTATTTTTACATCAACTTTTGAAGGTGGTCTAAGTATATTCTAGTGTGCTAATGCTTTTCTATGTCCACAATGCCTATCCACGCTTGGCTGATGCAAGAAGCAAGCCAGTTGCAGGAATCGAGTAACAGCTGTTGTCAGGGGAAAACAGACACGCACAATTCTGAGCTGCTAATGTAATGTGAAAAAGAAATGGGTTGCAAACAGTGCTGTTGTGATACCAGCCACATGAAACTCTGCATGATAGTCTGCAGAATGGAGTACATCTCCCATCCCAAGGGGAGCAGAGGGGCTGAAAGGCAAAACAGCCCAAACATCAGCAGCGATGAGAGGTTAGCTGTGTGTGAGGATGGCTTCATGCTCTCATGACCTGTGAGTACATGCCTCTCCTGGGCTGGAGTTTTCTGTGCTGGAGCTGCCTGTAGGCAATGGTCTTTTTCTGCTTTACTGACAAGTTTTCGATAATTGTGAGTTCTGAGACAAGGAGGTGGAAAACATTTTTATAACTAACAATGAATAGAATGTGTATTTTTTTTTATTTTTTTTTTGGTGGGGGGGGAAGGCTCTGGTGAAAGTGGATGGTAGCTAGTGCTGATTATAGAGGTGGTTCTTACTCAAGATAATACCAGTGTTTAGGGAGAAGGAAATAATTATTTAAAAAAAAAAAACAAAAAAAAAAAACAAAAAAAAACAAAAAAAAAAACAAAAAAACCCACAAAAACACTTCAAAATGGATGCCTTGGGTTGGTCTGTTTTAGAGGAATATTTGATTCCTAACAGAGCAATGCCCTCTGCCAGTACTAGACATAGGTGTCTTCACTGGGGACCGAGTTTTAACCTTTGTGTTCAGGACCTAGTCTGAAAGCAGGTGTGAAGAGCTTGCTGTTGGAGAGAGGTGCTGCAGGCAGCAGCAGTCTGCACTGAGGTGATTTCCTGATGCACTGAGCAAGCTCTTCCCTCTCTCCAGCCAGAGCCAGGACGCCTTGTCTGAATTTCAGAGTTAGCCTCTGTGTGGCCAAACGGTACTCTCTGCCCTCTGATACAGCTGGGGTCTTTATGCTCCAGGCAGCCTTTCACTTGTGCACCATTGCCAGAGCTCTCCCTCACCTCCTGCTTCACTTTGATTTCAGGAGACCAAGAGGATTGGTGCTTCCTTTGGGACCACTGCAGCAGTGGATCATCTCCTAGTACTGGATAAGGAACAGCTGCTAACCTTCCTAGGGATTTGTTTGTCTGGCCTTGACTTCCAGCAGTTTCCTTTGCTACGTTTTTCACGGGACACTGTAGTACCCAGTATTTTCTCTTGAAAGCATTCAGATGCTGTAATCCAGTCCCCTTTCTGTTCAGCGATACTAACCCCAAAGCCTACTGAGCTCTTTAGGTCTGTTACTGTCCTGCGTGTATTCTTAAGGTCTCGAGTTATTTCTGTGGATCTCTCCTCTTTGTCCTCACAGCCCTGACAGAAAGGCTCCTTTGCGTGGGGCTGTGAGGAGGGCTGGCCGAGGTGAGCAGCAGCGCGGTGCTGGTGGGTGCCTGCAGGCTGCCGGGCTCCTGCTGGTGCTGATTGCCACTTGCGAGTTGTTAAAGGAAACTTTGAATTGTATCAGACCTAGGAGAGGTCACTGGGGATCCTCGGTAATAACATTTCCCTACCTCCATCATATTCAGGGCCGAAAACAGTTTTTTGGATCTCATTTATAAAGCTCCTCATGCGGAGCAATTTCATAATAATATGAAGTATATGCAGTTTCTTTTTTCGTCCAGACAGAATATCAAATGTAATCAGGGCTGTTTAACCTGTAAAGCAGTGCTGATCTGATAGGTATATTTTTGACTTTTTAGCACTTTGGATTTAATTGTGTAGTGCATTGCATGCACTGCCTTAATTTGATGCCAAGTGATGTGGGTCATTTGGCTGGACCATTTGAAATGCTGGTGTGGTTCTGGTGCTTTCCCATCACTGAAATCCCTGGTATGTTAAAACATACCCCCCAAAACACCCTTGTTGCTTTTATCACCAGACCTTTAGAGGTGTGAAATTCAAACTATCTGGACCTCTTCCTCCTTCAAAGACCTTCCGTCCAGGATTTCTGTGGTAATGTCTGAAGTTTTTCTTATTGATTACTTTCCCATTTCTAATTGGTATTAAAGATGGCATTTCATTATATTCCTTCTAGCTGAGAGCTCTTTCCTGATTATGGATTTTCTAGGCTTTTAACAAACTTATTTTAAAATAATTCTCCTCATGCTTGTTCCCACCAGTACAATTCAACTTCCCTTCACTTTAAGAAGTAATGCTTTGATGCTTTCAGTCTGTGCAGATATATATTTTCTAAGTAGGGCTGCTGCCTGCCTGCGTGGGGAGCATGATGTCAAGCAGAGGTTCCTAGGAAGCCATCAGTAATCAGAATAGTAATTACCTCATTTTTATCATCATGAAGTCCAAACTTTTTCCCCCAGGTTTCTTCATTACTTTTAAAAACCAATGATTTTACTATTGAATGGAGAACCTCCTGTATACAACAACCAAAATCAAGCCACAAAAGTCTTTTGCACGATGTAACCCAATAATTAAATAAGTAAATTATCCTGTTTTCAGTTGGATTCAGTAGACTGTGCTGATGTTGCTATACCTCTTTCTGGGCTTTGAGGCAGGCTGCTGAGCCATGCATGCTTGGGTTTCCTCCACCTGAGGCCAGCTGGGACCCAGACAAGCAATGCTGTCCCTGGAGTGGCCCTGCTGGAAGCCTACGTGGTGCTATATAGCCATAAGAACCCCAGTGTTGCCAGCTTGTTTAGAAAACTGACATACCTTCACTGCAGGATTTCTCATTTCAGAGACAACTTTAGTCAATTGATTCTGAAGGGGAGGAAAAAAATATATATATTTCATTCTTTTCTAAACAGACTTTAATTTTTTGTTTGCATGGAAAAAACACTTTGACCTAATGAAGGTTAAAGCTGCAGCACAGCTCCACAAACTGCCTGATCCATGGATGCCAAGCAGAACTGCCCCCAGCCCTCCCGCCGTCCTCAGGGGCCACCCCAGCTGCAGCTGCTCCGTTTGCTGGTGCTGCCTCTTCACGGCACCAGCCGTGTGAGTAGATCAAATATGCCTGACTTTGTAGAGTGAAGAGGCTTTTAGGAGTTCTCCAGGCAATCAGCACAGCATTGTAATGTCCCCCTCATTCAGTAGTTGACTGAGCAAGTCTGGGGGCTGCCAGGGAGAGACCTTGCAAGAAACCTCTGCGGAGAGGAGAAGCAGCGTGTGGCTAGCAGGGGTAACCAGGCTGGGCAGGGCGC